CTGCGTGGCGGTACCAGCCCGGAGCTGCACCGGAATCCCCTACCGTTGCCGCTTCCATCGGGGCCTGGGAGAACGCGGAGCTGCCCCAGCGGGGCACGTGGCCGTGCGGTTTTGCCAGGAGCCGCAGACCAGTCCTGTCGCACGGGGAAGCCACCGCTTCCTGTCACCGAAGGCTGGTTTGGTTGTGGTTGGGGACCAAGCAGCCTCAGAGGAAGCGGTAGCCGATTCAGCAAGCTCTAGAAAGCAAGTTTTACTTCCACCTGCGAGCTGTGGGCAGGCAAGAGAAGCAGCCGATGCGTAGCAAGAGGGAGGGTCTCTGGCCTCCACACCCCAGCCGGCTTGGCTCTCCCACTGGTGCTGAGCTGCCTGATCCCAGCCTCACGTAAGGGAATTGCTTCCCCAGGAGGGCCACGGGCACAGGCATACCCACTCTTATCTGTAGTGCCCCAGGGACGAGAACAGCACCACAGGATACCCAGGAAACCACCGTCTGCTCTTGCTGTGCTTGCCCAGGCTCTGCCCGAAGCTACCTCGCTCCCTGGAAGGGGAGGGTGTAACGTGCTCGGCTCTGCTCCCCCCACTCAGCCCCAGGCTGGGCAGCCAGGATCCCGGGCAGGGCAGGGAACAGCATTCGACTGTAGTGGCAGAATTCCCCTGCGCTGCTGGGGCCATGAGACCCCGGAGCTGGCCTGGCCTTCCCTTCCTTCCCTGGCTCTGGCTGCACTGCAGGGCCAAAGGGCCAGAGCCAGAGTTTGGGCAGCAGGAGGAGGAGGAGACAAGGCACACAGCACACCTCCAGCTACAGCCGGAGGAAACTCCTGGGGAACTGGGTCAGAGGCAGCTGCTGAGTCACAGAATCACAGAACGGTTTGGGTTGGAAGGGACCTTAAAGACCATCCAGTTCCAACCCCCCTGCCATGGGCAGGGACACCTTGCACTAGACCAGGTTGCTCAAAGCCTCATCCAGCCTGGCCTTGAACACTTCCAGGGATGGGGCACCCACAGCTTCTCTGGGCAACCTGTGCCAGTGCCTCACCACCCTCTCCGGGAAGAACTTCTTCCTGATATCCAATCTAAACCTCCCCCCTTTCAATTTGTCCCCATTACCCCTTGTCCTGTCACTACAGGCCCTTGTAAAAAGTCCCCCCCAGCTTCCTTGTAGCCCCTTCAGGCACTGGAAGTCCTGAAGTCCGTCCACATCACGCTGGAAGCACATTCCTGCAAAAGTACAGCAGTTCTTGCAGCCAACCAGCACTCGCGTCTGAGTTCTCAGCCCCCGCGTATGGTACAGTCCAAGGAGCCACCTTTTTGCACAGGGGAAAACGCGGCTGGAGCACACTCCACCCAGCAGTGACCCACCTTACCTGCAGAGCGTGGCCAGGGTGGTTCGTAGCAGTAACGTAAGCGGCCTGTGCCACGCAGCAGAGGTGGTGCCTGGCTGAACGCGAGGCCATACCCTGGGCAAACATCAGAGCCCTCCTAATTACCCAGAGCTTCACAGCATCCTGAGGAGCGAGAGTGCAAGGCTCTTCCCAAGCCACCCTGGGCACCATCCCCCCTTCCACCATCAGTGATCCGCAGCTGCGGTGGTTTGAGCTGGGTTTATTTATGGTTGGCACTGCCGGCTTCCGCCAGGAAAGCGTGACGGTATTCATGGATGTGAAA